GGGCACATCTACACAAGCCGCAGTAATGCACTTTAGCCCTATTTATTGTGCAGTACAGGTGCGTGTCTACACCCGCATGCCCTTACTGTGCAGTAAAAATGGCTAATTGCAACCAAATTTGATACCTGCAAATGCAGGTAGAGTTGTGCGAAGTTTTGGGCGGTGATTTGATTTGGAGGAGAATTGGCCCAATTTGGTGGCCAAATCTCCAAATCTGAATCGAATGAGGGGACCAGTTACAAGGTCCAAATCAATTCGAAGCTCTCTGAATCTTCGGAAAAGGTTTGGAGAACTTCAATGATTCAGACAGTTCCCGGTGGCTGCAGCACGGAGCTGCAGCCGGACTAGGAGCTAGTAAGTGGGGGGGCGGGGTTGGGCTGGAGGAGAGGTGAGGGGACCATGGGAGGACCCCCGCCAGGCCCCATCCCCTGCCTGCTCCCTCAGCACCCCCAACTCCCACCTGCTCCCCCAGCCCCCCCCATGGCTACCCCGCCCGCTCCAGCTCCTGGTGCTTTAAAAAAAAGCCCCACTCACCAGCTGCTGCTGGGCGGAGGGCAATCCCTGCTGCCCCATGCTGTGTGGGGGGGATCTGCACAAGCCCCCTGACCCCCCCGCCCTTGCTCTCCCAGCCGCCCCATGGCTGCCCTGCCCACCCCAGCTCCAGCCCTTTAAGAAAAAAAACCCAAGAAAAACCCCACACTCTCTGCTCCTGCAGTCGCCTTGGGGCCTCGGGGGGCTCGTGTAGAGCCTCCCATGTGGCAGGAGGCAGCAGGGGTCACCCCCCTGGTGTGTGGGGTTTTTCTCTTTTTTTTTTTTAAAGGGCCAGAGCTGGGGCAGGCAGGGCAGCCATGAGGGAGGACTGGGACAGTGGGGGAGGGGCAGGGGGCTCATGCAGAGCCCTCCCCCCACAGTATGGGGCAAAGGGGGGCAGCGGGGATCACCCTCCCACTCAGCAGCACCCACTGAGTGGGGGCTTTTTTTTCCAAAGTGCTGGGAGCTGGGGCAGGTGGGGCAGTCATTGCTGGGCTGGGAGATTCGGAGATTTGGCCAACTTGATTCAGGACAGTGATTCGAATCACCAAATCAAATCATTGTCCCTTGAATTGGCCGAATCCAAAGCGAATACTAACTGCTTCTCACAGGCCTACCCTTCAGGTAGTTGAAGGCTGCTATCAAATCCCCCTTCAGTCTTCTCTTCTCCAAACTAAATAAGCCCAGTTCCCTCAGCCTGTCCTCATAAGTCATGTGCCCCAACCCCTGAACCATTTTCACTGCCCTCCACTGGACCCTCTCCAATTTGTCCATATCCTTTCTGTAGCGAGGGAAACAAAACTGGACACAGTACTTCAGATATGGCCTCACCAGTGCTGAATGGAGGGGAATTATCACTTCCTTCAATCTGCTGGCAACACTCCTACTAATACAGCCCAATATATTGTTAGCCTTCTTTGCAACAAGGGCACAATGTTGGCTCATATTCATCTTATTGTCCATTGTAACCCCCAGGTCCTTTTTTGCAGAGCTGTACCAGTGCATGGAATTGTTCTTTCCTAAGTGCAGGACTTTGCACTTCTCCTTATTGAACCTTATGACATTTCTTTTGGGCCAATCCTCCAATTTGTAAAGGTCTCTCTGAACCCTACCCCTACCCTCCAGCATATCTATTCTTCCCCCCGCTTGGTGTCATCAACAGACTTGCTGAGGGTGCACTCTATACCATCTTCCAGGTTACTGATGATGATATTGAACAAAACTGGGCCCAGGACTAACCTCTGGGGCACTCTACTTGATATTGGCTGCCAACTAGATGTCAAGCCTTTGATTACTATCCCGAGCCTGATGATTCAGGAAGTTTTCTGTCCACCTTACAGTCCATCCATCCAACCTGTATTTCCTTAGCTTGCCTGCAAGAAAGTTGTGGGAAACTATCAAAAGCCTTGCTAAAGTCAAGGTATATCACATCCACTGGTCTTTCCTCATCCACAGAGCCAGTTATCTCATCACAGAACACAGTCAGGTTAGTCAGGCATGATGTGCCCTTGGTGAATTCAGGCGGACTATTCCTAATCACCTTCTCCTCCAAATGCTTAGAAATAAATTCCTTGAGGACCTTCTCCATGATTTTTCCAGGGACTGAGATGAGGCTGATCAGTCTGTAGCTCCCCAGATCCTCATTCTTCCTTTTTTTAAAAGATGGGCACTATATTTGCCCTTTTCCAATCTTCTGGGACATTTCCTGATCACCATAAGTTTTCAAGGATGATGGCCAGAGGCTCTGCAATTGTATCAGCCAACTCCCTCACCACCTTCAGGTGCATCCCATTCAGCCTCTTGGATCTGCACATGTCCAGATTTTCCAAATAGTCCCTAACATGATCTTTTGCCACTCATATCCTCCCCAAACTGTGCTGCCGGTGCAGTAGTGTGGGAGCTGACATTGCTTATGATGACTGAGGTGAAAAAGACATTGAGTACTTCAGCATTTTTTGCATCATCTGTTGCCAGGTTGCCTCCTCCCTTCAGTAAAGGACCCACACTTTCCCTGATCTTCCTTTTATTGATGACATGTGTAGAAACTCTTTTTGTTACCCTTCATGTCCCTTGCTATATGCAACTCCAGTTGCACTTTGGCCTTCCTGATTTCATTTCTGCAAGCCTGAGCAATACTCTTATACTCCTCTCTGGTTATCTGCCCAAGTTTCTACTTCTCGTAAGTTTCCTTTTTGTGTTTTAGCTCACTGAAAAGTTCCCTGCTAAACCAAACTGGTCTTCTGTCATACTTGTTAGTCTTCCTGTGCATCGGGCTGGTTCATTCCTGCACCCTCAGTAAGGTTTCTTTAAAATACAACCAGCTTTCCTGGACTCTTTTCCCCCTCAGATGGCCCTCCCCCAGGGTCCTGCCCAACAGTTCCCTGAGTGAGTCTAAGTCTGATTTTTCTGAAGTCCAGGGTCCTTACTCTGCTGCTCTCCTTCCTTCCTTTCCTCAGGATCCCAAACTCAATCCTCTCCTGGTCACTGTTGTCTAAATTGCCATCCGCCTCTATATTCCCCACCAATTCTTCCCTATTTGTGAGCAGTAGGTCAAGAAGAGCTTAGCCTCTAGTTGGGTTCTTCAACACTTGCACCAAGAAGTTGTTCCCAACACTCTCCAAAAATTTCCTGGATCGCCTGTGCACTGTTGTATTGCCCTCCCAGAAGATGTCACGGTGATTGAAGTCTCCCATGAGAACCAAGGCCTGCGATCAGGAAATTTCCACTAGCTGTCTGCAGAAAGCCTCATCCATCTCATCCTCCTGGTCTAGTGATCTATAACAGCCCCCTACCACAATATCACCCTTGTTGCTCTGCCCTCTAACCCTAACCCAGGGATTTTCAACAGGCTTATCTCCAGTTTCATACTGGAGCTCTGAGCAGTCATACAGCTTTTTTACATAAAGCACAACTCCTCCATGCATCACTGCTTCAAAAAAAATCCCAGTTTATTCAAGGCTGCTTGCTAGGACTTGGCTAGGAAAAAATATTTCAAGTCAGAAGGCTACTTTGCCTATCATTTGCAGTTCATGAAGAAAAATGTGGGAAGGTTGTTGTGATACAGAAACTCTAGGAAGAAGAGTTGAAAAAAATGGGTAGGAATAATGAAGAATTCTCTCTCAGCAAGCCCAATGCTCACAGCTTGAGTAAATGGAGGTTGAAACAAAATCTTTCCCCAGGCACTGAGCATACTTCACAACAGTCACAACAGCCATTGCATAACAGCTTACAAGGCATAATGGATCCACCCCCACTTTGCTCTCAGCCATCCCATAAAGGTAGAGTAGACACAGCCCTCAAGCATAGTTTCAGTGGAAACAATGGGTACAGAACTGACTGCACTCGGTTCTTCATCATCCATACACTGAAACTTTACTATTACATTCATTATCCTTGTCATGTTACTAGGGCTAGAAGATCTGATTTCAACAGGTCTGTGCTCTTTCAGTGTGCTGTGTGTGTATAGTATATATTCCTTCCATTATTTGCTCAGGATCATTCTCTAGGAGGCTTGTTTGATTCCCATTTGCTTCTTAAGATCCAGCAGCCACGAACAAAAAGATTTTGTTCTCTCTGTTACAGAAAATGAGTTTTCCTTTCACATATAGACCATGATATATTTATTCAGGCCCTTGGCCCCAGGAGATTGCATTACAATAATAGATTCTTCGTGTTGCTACATTTAAAGTCTATTTGGAAACTTCAACTAGCATGGATTATAATGGCCTCTTGGCTATGTGCTTTTCAGAGGGAACATCATTATACCCATATTTCAAATTCTGTGCTTACTCCAATTTGTTTTCAAGTACAATTCAAAGCGTCTGTTTTAACCTGTGAAGTTGTAAGTTAGGCCCTACCTACAATGGATCTCTCTTCAGTTGAGAGCAGTGGAAGCCCAAGCTAATAGCCTTCTGGTTCTTTGAAGCTGAAACCAAAGAGGATGGTGGCTGTACTGGTTAATAAAGTGTTTTGAAGAGTTTCCAATTATGGTATAGCCTTCTAGGCTTCAGGTGTGCACACCTACAATTCAATCTGTCGTTTTTTAGTCGTTTTCCTAGATTACTCTCTGATGCCAAGCTCTTATGTAGCAGTACCTATAATTACTCCTTTCTACCATTTCCATTTGGCTAAGAGACTTCCACCTTGGTGGTCAATGAACCTGTCTCCATTCTACACGTTTCATCACCTCTCTACTAGACTACAGTAAGGCCATCTGCCATTAGGAAACTCCTACTAGTACAGATGCTGAAGGGCATCATTATGGCAGTGGCAGACTCTTGATATGAGGTGACAGTCTTCCAGTAAATAGGAAAGTCAGCAGGGAGGCTTTAGACAATTGAAGAGACTGATCTGAGATCTTCACATTGTGCAGATGTGACACATAGTTCTAGGAGGAAGGAATAGGTCCTGGGGATGTTAGTCACAGCTCTTT